ATATATATATATGCAATATTTATGTATGCATGTATTTATTTATTGTTAGAATTATTTTTATTGGTTATTAATTTTATATTTATATTATTTCATTATAATTTGTAATTTATTAAAATCTATTTATTTAATTTATACTATTATTTATTTATTTATTTATAGTATTTATATTATGACTTTTATTGCTATTATTATTTATATTATTTAATGAGGGTAAAGAGTTCAGGCAGTTTAAAGCTGTGTAGCTACACTGTAAAATAAATATTTTTGATTATTATCCCTAGGTATAATGTTTTGTCATAAATTTTAGGTGATTTTTTTTTTTTTTTTTTTTTACCTTGAATTTTGTGATGATGAGTTGAGATCATGAGTCACAGTACTAGTTAGTAATCCCAATTTGATCATTTTCAAACCTGAATATGCTTGTTTCATAGGAACTGGCAAAATTTGAAGAAATGGAAGATCAAGTTATTCTTACTGAGAAAGGTAAGCAAGCACATTTAGAACTTTAGAATTTAGAATTTAGTAACTTGTGCTTCGCTCTTCTAATGGCTGGTTTTACTCCTGTATAGATCTGCTGGAGGATGGGTTTGGAGATCATCCGTTCTATCACTGTATCGTGGCTGACGTGCCCAAACAGCACCAGAGCGCCGACAGTAAGACTAAACCTGTGCTGCAGCTCTGTGATTCAGTGCACAATATGTCGTGCTGTTCTGCTTTTGTTTCCGTATCAGGTTGAAGTGAGCGCATCAGGAGAGTGTAAATTCCCACCCGCACTTGATTTACAGAGAGTCTTTGTGTGCATAAAGATGCAAAACTGTGTTTGGAAACACTTTGCACTGCAGCGTGCATGTTACACATTCTGTAAACATGAAGTGCATCTAGTTCATTACTACTAGTTCACCCAAAAATGAGATTTAAGGAATAGTTTTACAAATTCATACATTTTATAAATGTAGGCATATATGTGTGATTTTCTTGTTTAGTGTTTTTCTGGTTTTGATTTTTTTTTTTTTTTTCTTTAAATTAAGATACTTTTACTTGAGAAGCTTGTTTTCTGACATTTTTTGCTAATGAACAAGTGGATCATCTGATCACAAATAGATAAAATGATAAATAAAATAATACAATTATTAAATATAAGTAATAATAGCAATAAAAGTAATATAAATATTATAACTAAATATAAATAGCACAAATAAAATAAAACGATGATAGTATACTAAATTATAAATAACATAATTTATATAAAATAATGTAAATATAAAAGTATAACATGAATACATAATTAAAAAAATAATATAAATATAAAATAATAGTATATTTAATATAAGTAAATAGCAATAAAAAGACAGTCAAAACCTAGAAAGTCAATGAATATTTGTATTTGTATTTTTATTTTGTACATTTTTCCAAGAAAAAAAAGTTAAATATCAGTCAATAAAAGTAATAAAAATGATAAATAAAATCATTAAAAAATATCTGCCAATGGGCTCAGAAAAATTCAGTCCTGCCTAATTTAAACCTAATTTAGAGGAACAACTAGTTTATTTTACTGACCTCATTAGCAGACATTTCTTTTTTATTTTAGAAGTAAAGTCACTTAATTTTGAGATTTTTTTTTTAAATTTCAGAACACAAAACTAGTTGTCTTAAGTCATTTTGCTTCTCTAGTGAGTGCATCTTGATTTAAGACTGTTGTAAAATCATTTTATTGAATTAGAAAATAATTTTTTGCAGTGCAACATCTTAAATTTGGGTCTATTCCTACTGTACAAATTCAAAAAAGTTGGATTGTATTGCATATATAGTTCATATATCTCCTTTTTGGAGCTTGAGAGAAGTGGTCACTATTTGGGAATTCAAATTTTGGGAAATATGACGTTAGAGTGAGTAAATAATGCCAGGTATTCATGTTTGGGTGAACTTATTTATTGAAGTAACGCTGTAACATGAACACTGGAATCTGAAGTGTCTTTTTTTTTGTGAATCTCAACACAGAGAATTTGAGTTGTTTGACATTTGCCAAGAACGCTCATCCAATCCCCCTGTGTAATTTATTGTCTTCAGGCTACAGTCTCTTGCTTCGCCATGTACATTGCCCGTGGCGTGTACATGGATGGGCGGGGAGGTAACTGAAAGATCGCTTACAATAGCGTAACATATACAATGAACCAGAGGTAAGGCCACAACAGCTGGGACGTCCCAGCCTTACACCACACTACCATACGCCCCAAACTAACAGCTGTCTGCCAGACGCACCATACGGATGTGTCTCCATACTCACAGCTAGGGATGGGAATCGCAGGGAACGAACGATTCCATGAATCAATCTTTTAGAATTTTGAGGACAAACAAATGGACAATGTTTGGAAAACAATTCTAATTGCCATGACAACGGCAACGTTTCTTTTATAGCCACATTCCGTCCAAGTCTTTCTAGTTTGTTTTGATTCCCAGCCCTACTCTGCTGCACTGCAAAAATGATTTTCTTACTTAGTATTTTTGTCTTGTTTTCCAGTACAAATGTCTAAACATTCTTAAATCAAGATATGTTTACGTGAGAAGCAAAATGACATAAGATATTAAGAAAAAATGCATCAAAAATGACATAAGATATTAACCCTTGTGCGACCTTTTGGACATTTTTGTCCTTTTCAGTTTTGTTTTTTTGATCATTTTGCCTGTGTTATTGCCAACTGCAAACATTTTGGCACAGGTGTGTATTTTTATTGGAATTTTACTATTTTTTTTATGACAGTTTTTTGACATGGACATTTTTGTCCACTATGGACCTATGTGTAACTTTTTTACTGCTAGTGGAGTCCGAAAAATAAAATAATTTTATATATAATTATATATTGTAATAATTTTTATGTAATATACTTATATATATTAAATAAATGAAAAATATATTATATTATATTATTCTATATTATATTATGTTTCTCAAGTAATTGTACCTTCATTGGATATTTGTACTGGAAAACAAGACAAGATTGCTAAGATAATATTTTTGCAGCCTAGTATAAACGTTCAAATCAACATAATAAAAGTGAAAAGAAAAAGTGAAATGATGGTTTAATTGAAAATGTGACTGTGGTGTATGCGAGGGTTGTGATGCCAATAATCCCACCTGAAATTAATTTCAGCAAACCAAAGCAAATTGCAAAAACAACAGCGATTTTGTAGTCGCTAACTAATGCCTTTGTCTTGCTGGAAACAATAGAGTGATTGAAGTGTGTTTCCAGGTCATGTGATCATTGGCTTTGCCATGTATTATTTCACCTATGACCCCTGGATTGGGAAACTGCTCTACTTGGAGGACTTCTACGTCATGAAGGAGTTTCGAGGTATGAATGTGACCTTATATATTTATGTTATCAAATTGTCAGAGACACCGTCATGTAACACTTTCTCTCTATTAAAATTAGGTTTTGGAATTGGGTCTGAAATCCTGAAGAAACTGAGTCAGGTACGTTTAAATTTCCTTTATGCAACACCAAAAAGATCAATAACATCTGCTTCTATAGCCCATGAGGAAACTGTTCATGTATGTTGTTCAGATCACATAGTTACCCTTGTGAAAAAGAAGTGCGCTTAATTGTATTGAATGTGCACTTGCAGTGTACTTCAAATCTTATAAGCATATTTAAATAATATGTATGATAATATGTTATTAATTAAACAAAAGCCTACTTAAGCTCACTTTCATGACTATGTTTCTTAACACACTTGAGTACACTTTTAAAAGTGCACTTTGTAATAATGTCAAATTAAAGGTTTTACTTTAAAGTACACTTTAAATTGTTTTTTCAAAAGAAGTACATTAATTTGTTTTGATGTGTTCACTAACATGTAAAGTACTTGATTATAATTTTAACTGCAGTGTATTATTCAATATAAATTTTAAAGTTAATATATTTTAATTAAATACATTTCTGTGAGAAATATATTTAAAACATATCATACATGTCACAAGTATATTTTATTTAACCATAAATGTAAAGATGTACTTAAGTCCTACTTAAGTGGGTTAAAAAAAACTCTTAAGTTTGCATTTAATGGAATATAAATTTAACTGAAATACATTTGAATTTAATTGCAAGTAACATGTTTGCACTTAAATGTGTATTTTTTTTTTTAAGTATATACACTGTAAAAAAATATTTTTTCTGAGTGAAAATTGTTTCTACACCAATGTTTTTTTTTCCTGTGTATTTTTTTAAGTATGCTAAGTATGCTGTGTATTTTTTATTTTATTTATTTATTTCTTTTTTGCTGCGTTTTTCTTTTTCACCAGGGTACCAAAGCTCAAAGTTTACCATACTAGTTAATAATTAGTCCCAGGTTAATGATCCAGCATTATACAGCACCTCTAATCTTCTCCTGGCAGTATATCTTGTACTCAAATCAGTTTTCTCCAATCATTGACTGGTTTTCTGCAGACGGCGGTCAGGACTCGATGCAGCAGCATGCACTTCATCGTGGCGGAGTGGAACAAACCCTCCATCGACTTCTACAAGCGGCGCGGAGCGTCTGATCTCTCGCTGGAGGAAGGATGGAGGCTCTTCAAGATCGACAAGCAGAACCTGCTCAAGCTTCTGGCTAGTAACCCAACCGCTGGGTCAAAACAACCCAATTGCTGGGTTTGTCCCTATTTTACCCAGCACTGGGTTGTATTTAACCCAGCATTTTTTAGAGTGTGTGATTGACCCTCTGGTGCTGGTGTCCACTGAAGTGGACACATCCAAAACCATTAATTCTTACCCATAATTCTCTGTGAATGTCCCCTTTATATGTCATTGCGTTTTTACAAGTTTAAAATAGCTACTTTCTTCAGATGTGTAATTCTCTTAAAATAAGTTATTTTGAAAGATTATATTCTTGTTTTTTTAAAAGGATACATTAAGATTTCTTCTTTTCCTTTGTGATTTAATAATTCATGCATCAGAGACTTTCTGCTTATCATGCAATGCACTGATGTTTATATAGACGTGGCATATTTACTTCTCTGTATACTTCAAGCTTAAATTATACTGAAAAATTAAAATAAAACATTTAAATTAGAACAATTTTTTTTTTATATGAGATCAAATTTTTCCCAATGTAATACTTAGCAACAATTCTACTAAGGCAAGTGTTGGGGGTAACACATTACAAGTAGTGCAAGTTACGTAATCAAGTTAATAGTAAAGTAATGCATTACTTTTTAATTTAAGTTACTTTTTCAAATAAGTAATGTCAGTTACTTTGTTGTCCCATTTATTAACTGACAGCTCTCCTGTCCCCATGTTAAGAGAAATCGGGAGTACAGAGGTGTTGTGTGCGCTGCTGCGTGAACATGATGTTACTGTAATTTAGATTAAATATGAACATGCATTTACTCATCTCACCTGCACAAAAACAGATTCAGTGTTCTTCAAAATGAATAAAAACTGTGAAATGCAAACTCCGAATATGACGCAAACCTGCAAAAATTAAATGTTAATAACACAAATATCCTTCACATATATTCCCATTTTTGCTGCTGACCTTTGATGATCCAGTTCAAGCATACTAATAGACAAAAATGGCTTTAGATAAACAAAACATTTGTGTTTGTTGGCTTTCTTTCTTTTTAATTACGGAAGAATGTTGAACTTTCTTCTCCTGCATCCAGTTCTTCATGCAGTCCAGAATGGCAGCACAGCTGAAAGGTTTGTCTGAGCTGCAGCCTCTGCTTTACAGAAATTCATTTACATTTCCTTCAGCCTGAGGCATATTCAATCAATTCTCTTTAGGTGTGAAAGGGCTTTTACGTTTGCCAAAAATAAAATTTTTATATTAAAAACAAACCAGCAAGATCAGTCCAGATGAGAAATAGCACAAAAGTAACGAAATGCATTACTTTCCATAAAAAGTAATACGAATTTATTCACATTCTGAATGGATTATAGCCTAGAAAGCGTGCAAAGAGTGCTCCCCTTATAATCACTAAAAAGCTGTCACTCATCTTAGCTCATTGCAATCTCAGGAAGCTCCATTATAATCAATGAAGCTCTAAACGGCACAATTAATCTCTTATTTACATCGTGCCTACCTTTGTTTTGTTATAGCTAATGAGAGGATTCGCGAGCAAACAGAACTCAGCGTTGAACTTTTGTGAGGTGAGTGGATTCTAGCGTAAACACCTCTGATTGGCCATTGTGTTCTAGAAATCAACAGATAAGTCTGTGATTGGCTACATTTCTCAATGCTGCAAAAGCGTTGTAAATAGAAACCTATGACCAGTGGATGAAAAACCCCGCCCCTCAGGTTAAATGTTTGTGACGTAGGACACTGGGGCTGTTTCAAAAAGCATTTTTTGAGGTCAACTTCTTTGGTAAACTGCAGTTTTAAGCAGTAAATGCTCAGCAATGGTGTTGACTGATACATTTGCACATAGTTTTAGGCATATTAAAAACACCAGACATGTTTGTTTTATTTACAACTTTACAGTATATTTTTTTCCCCCTGTCTGTTTTATTAGAGGTGTTTGCTCATATTTAGGATTTGAACAAATGTCTAACAGTAAATATTAAAGTTATCCTGAAAGCATTGCTCAGTCCAGCTGTTTACAGTATGTGAAGTGGGAGTGTGAGAGATTCCTGAGACATTCCCGGGAACAGAGCCAAACTGAATGAGAGGTGCATGCTTATTTGTAAAGGCCTGTCCATTATTGCATATTGCATATAAACACTGTAATTCAACTCATGATGTTTTTTTCTTAGACAGTCATCATCAGTGATGCAGGCTTTCTTTCTTAAATGTCACAGTTGTGCGTTTGTCTGGACTAAAGGAAACACAAAGCTGTGAAAATAACAATGCCTTCCTGCCCGGTGACCTCTAAGACATCCGCACGCCTTAAGATGTTTATTACAACTTTTTCAATAGGTCAATACCTTATTTTCCAGATATAAGAAAAATGCATAAGTGCTTATGTTGGGTCGAGGGTGCTGGAAAATGACTCAATATCCATGTCGTCAGAGGAAACCACCTATAAGTCTCTCAGACAAGAATTCCGACTGAGAGCGGATGTGAATGAGTCAGTGCCGATTATATCCCATTCACAAATACAGTCCGGCTCATGGGCTGAAACTGGAACCGGATAAACACCAGAGATGCTTGTGCACATGCTGCTGTACATGTTCAGAGGTAGTAGTTTGTAGTTTCTTAACCCTGAGAAGCTTGACATCAAATAATAGTCAGAAAAAAATTCAATTAATTTAAAATATATTTTTGATAATAATATTATATTTTAGAAAGTTTGCATATGTTTTACATATCATATTTGATACATCAGTCTGTTATAGTATATGATATAGTGAAAACACCTATTTTTTTCAGAGGCCCAAACTAAGCAAAAATCAGCAATTTGGTGCAAATGTTGATATTTATATAATGAAATTCTGATGCTTGTAATGTAAGTCAGTGTAAATCAAAATATAGCAGATACTTACATAAAATCACTCTATAACTCTAATATGTCTTAGTAAGATGATATTTAAATGCTTCGTTTTGATGATCCAAACATATAATGCAATGCAATCCAATAATGATTAAGATATGAACAAATAAATGTTCCTCAAAAGCCTGATGATCATACTGTAAGTGATACTCACACTTGAACATGATTTTTCTATTATCTACTCATAATCAAGTAAATCTAAATTTAGATTACTGCAGTCCAGTAAATGTTCATTTTGATATATTACTAATAATATCAAGGTTATTCTTACATTTCAATCAGTAAAGATTTCACAGCAAAAAGACACATGAACCATGAGCTGAATGTGGACTTTTGTATAATTATACCTACATAAAATTCATAATTTAGAGGCTTTAGAACTGTGTGCATCCAATATCATACAGTAACCTCTTTGGGGTTAAATCATATATCAACAAAGCATTTGTAGCATCATATTGTATTACTAGCTTTGTGCTTTAAGTTTGCACTGCATGCACATTGCATTGCATAAAATATGCATTTTGCATTGCAAAGACAAATCTAACTTTACTCTTGGAGTAAACATTGTGCACATCCACTATTTGACACTTTAAACGATAATGCGTAGGCAATTTCACATCTATCCTCTATGGTGCATAAAATGCTATTCAATTTCTTAGACTGATCATAGCTTTTTAAGGCAAGGTGAATAATATTCTTAAGTTATTTAAGGTTACTCTGCCTTTGAAATGTCTATAATTGCACACACAGCAATGATGCATCAATATCTAATAGTGGCATCAATCTCCATTATGCCGTGTTTATCAATAGTTGCTCATCCAAAGATCTGTTTCACATTTCTAAGGAGACACACTGACAAAAATAGCATCAGCACCATTTGGTAACAATAACAGCATCTCTAAATCTAAAAACAAAGCCTCATTGTCACCTTTGTTTAAATACAAATGATAAATATGGGAATATTATTTTAATATATCCTGTTTTCCCCCAACAGTGCATTCGCCTTTGAAGTCTACAATATTTACGTCATATAACAATTTCCTCCTGCTCTATTCTTGTGAATGAACAAACAGCATTTGATCTCACACATTTGTAAAGTTTCCATGGCTGTTTCTGCAGACGACATAAACACGTGCAAGTTTGCACACTAAGAATGTGAGTAAATGAAAGCAGAATTTTTATGTTTGAGTGAACTATTCATTTCAAATCTAGCTTAGCTGCCAATTATGAAATCACATGCAACTAAAAAATTAAGTTGGAGGTAAAAATCTGTGATGTCAGTTTTCCAGATTACACTGCAGAGCTAACCATCTGTCATCAACCTTAATGAGCAAAGCATGAAAACATCATAACTAACAGAACGCAGGCCTACAATCACACAGAAGATTGCATTCCCAAGTACAAGCTAGCACTTTTGTTTGGCAACAGCCTTTTGTGCAAACTGTGAAATATGTTGTTCCTGTCTTGGCTTGATATTATGACACCTAAGGGCGAGCTGTAACCCACAGGAGACTTTATTTCTCTTTGTGCTGCTGTCAAATGACATTCTTGTTTTTGTCTGAAAACAACTTCCAGTGTTCAAGGTCCCTATAAAAAAGTATTGTAATGATAGTAGTTGTGCCCCAAATTACGCACTATGGACTTATTCTATGTACTCAACTGTCTAGTGTATGAATAAGGTTATGTTATCATCATTGACATCAGTGTCAACATGTTGTCAACATCGGAGTCTGATTGCTTTTTCCAGTTATTTAAGTGCATCATCTGGGCAGTGTGTGAACACACTAATACATTATTTATACAAAAAAAAAACAGGATAGAATAGTGCATAAGTATGCAAATTGGGGCACACCTAGTATGTGACAATGCTACTGTACTTTGATATGGTTCAAAAATCTAAAACCACACTGAAAATCTGAGATTAAACTCCAAATTAAACCAATTTTGAAATATTTAAAACAACAGGTTAAAAAAAAAAAACAAAGCAATGTTTGCGGTGTTCCTGCATGGCTTTGACCAACATATGTCGCTAGCGTGCTGTCACTCTTGCGTTGCGCATGCGTCGAGTAAGTCTTTTTGTGTGCGTGTGTGTGTGTGTGTGTGTGGATTAGGCTAACTGGTTTTGTGCTCCAGGGTCACATATGACTTATTCTATGTACTGTGTACTCAACTGTCTAGTGTATGAATAAGGTTATGTTATCATCATTGACATCAGTGTCAACATGTTGTCAACATCGGAGTCTGATTGCTTTTTCCAGTTATTTAAGTGCATCATCTGGGCAGTGTGTGAACACACTAATACATTATTTATACAAAAAAAAAAACAGGATAGAATAGTGCATAAGTATGCAAATTGGGGCACACCTAGTATGTGACAATGCTACTGTACTTTGATATGGTTCAAAAATCTAAAACCACACTGAAAATCTGAGATTAAACTCCAAATTAAACCAATTTTGAAATATTTAAAACAACAGGTTAAAAAAAAATATATAAAAAAATATTTAGTGTGCTAGACAATATGGTATGGAAGCCCGTTTCCGCCACAGTTGAGAAAAAATATAATTCTGTAAGTCATAATAATGAGAAACTTTCTCGTAATGATGATTTAGCCTAATCCACACACACACACACACACACAAAAAAGACTCTCGACGCATGCGCAACGCAAGAGTGACAGCCTAAGTCATTATTACGAGAAAGTTTCTCAATATAACGAGATACTAAGTCATAATTTTGAGAAAGTTTCTCATTATTATGACTTACAGAATTATATTTTTTCTCAACTGTGGCGGAAACGGGCTTCCATAATATGGTCATCAGATTTTCATGTCAGTTTTTCCATTTAACTTTTAACTCTAATTGTTGTGCATTCAAATTATATTATAATTAAAATGTATACTTAAAATTCAACTATCTATTAAAAATACTATAATAAATACTGTAACTGATTGTTAATAAAATTGTATTATACATATAATTAGTTATTATTAATTATTTATTAAATTAATAATTATTTATTTGACTTAGTTGTTTTGATTGATTTATTATTATTTACAATTTATTGATTTATTAATACAATCAATTATAATAATTTTGTTAGCAGCTGCATTTAATCTTTCACTCATTGTTGTGCTAACAGTGAACTTAATTTATTTTACTATTTTAACTTAATCAATTATGATATTTTGTTTGCAGTGGTTTGTGTTCTCTCAAGGGCCCAAAAAGAGCTTATGAAACTAGTTGCAAGTCTGAAATATTTATAAACGGACACAATCCGTGCCTCATGTTTCACTGGTTGGCGGCCTTGACACAATATCCGACAGCCCTTCTTCTTTGTTCTGGTTCGTACTGGTTATCCTTCTTCTTCTTCTTCTCCTTCTTGGCTTTTAACGGCGGCTGGCAACCAGCGTGTACTGGTTATCCTGCTGTAGCCTACTACTGATGTGAGTCAGATCTACTCAGCACTTCCGGTTGCTGACGTCAGAGCGCCGCGCCTATAAATAGCGCAGGAGCTCAGTTCTCACTCACACAGACAAAGCGCTTCCTGCGACTTCAGACTTAATGTGATGCTGATAGGGCGAGAAACCCAGACTTTCTGCTGAGGGTAGCCCCCTTGGAACCGAATGAAGAAACAGATCTTACTACTTTTCACATACCGAGGACTAGTAAGAAAAGGGAAGAAGAGTAAAAGAAGAAAATGGCCAGTTTTATATTACGGAAAGCCGAGCCCAAGGACGTGTCTGACATACTGCGACTCATAAAGGTAAAAACACGACTACGGCGCACGCGTATGACGGTGTTTTAAAACAATTATTCGTTGACGGTGTTTACATGTTGATGTTTGCGAAATAATATACGCTATTTAATTAATTCTAGGAACTTGCGAAGTTTGAGGAAATGGAGGAACAGGTCGTCCTGACCGAGAAAGGTGGGCCTACAGACCGTTATTCGTTCTTCGAATTCAAACCTTATGCTTTCCGTGTATAATATATGAATGTATATGATTATGTATGATTATTATTTGTTTATTTTTCAGAGCTGCTCGAGGACGGTTTCGGAGATCATCCGTTTTATCACTGCGTCGTCGCTGAAGTACCGAAAGATAAACAGTCCGTTGAAGGCAAGCCAAAAACATCAGTGTTCACTTGGTTACAAAAACGCCTATCTATATCATGGATGCGGTGCTGTTACAGTTAATGCTACGTTTGTGATGGAAATGTTACAGTTTATCTTTCTGCGTCATGCGTTAGTGGTGACGTAAGAGCCGCTGAATCAGAATCCCCTAACTTTCCTCTTTCTCTTCTCTTCTCTTGAACCGCTTTAACCCTGGTGTACTAACATCCTCGTGTATGATTTCCTCATCAGGTTATACAGTAGTTGGCTTTGCTATGTACTACTTCACCTATGACCCCTGGATTGGGAAGCTGCTTTATCTGGAGGACTTCTATGTGATGAAGGAGTTCAGAGGTCTGAAGTGATGCCACCTGTTTCCACTTAGTATATGCATTTTTCTAATTATAGTAACTGTAACCGTATGTATTACTATTAAGAATTATATGTTGATTTTAATACACACGCACAATATTTTATTTATAGTAATGGCAATATTAATAATTAGTGTTGTTTCCACTTAGTATATGCATTTTTCTAATTATAGTAACTGTAACCGTATGTATTACTATTAAGAATTATATGTTGATTTTAATACACACGCACAATATTTTATTTATAGTAATAGCAATATTAATAATTAGTGTTATAATACTGATATAATTCTTATATCATCATACTATTATTATTTGTTATAAAAACTGAAAATATTATATAATAATAATAATTATATATATATGTGTGCGTGTATGTATTTCTCATAAAATAATGTATTCTAATAAAAAAAACAAAAAAAAACAATAGTAACTTGGGTTCTTTAACAAGAATATTCGTTCCTTTTTATTTATATATTTTTTGCTGCTTCCTTTCAGGTTATGGGATTGGCTCTGAAATCCTGAAGATGCTGAGTGAGGTACTTATAAATCACTACAACCTAAATTTAAATTGTAAAATTTACAAAATAATAAAATAAAAAATTAAATGGGTATTTAAAATAATTTAGAGAACAGTTTTGTTATATGATAATAATCTATTCTAGGCCTACTTTCTCGTGTGTAGATCAATGAAACATTTATTATTTGGTTTTTATTGAATTTTTCAAAAACGGAGGAAGTGACGTACTTTTTTTTTTTTTTTTTTTTTTTTTTTTTTT